TTACAAAGCAAACACTTTAATGTACATCAATACAATACTGTGTTTTGTTTACTCTAAACAAATTACATTTGTCTTATAAAACTTTGTTTAGCTCAGTTCACATAAAGACAGGAATATTCTCTTCAAAAGACCTTAACATTTATTGGGATGTCTTTCAAATATGCATCACCTATTCTGTTTTATAAAATACAATATTTTTTTAATTAAAAATAAATACATCAATAAATTAATACAATTAATTGAGTAAATTATGCAACCAATTTGCACTTAAGTAAATCAAGATCACTTTGGCTTTTTTTTTTACAAAACTCTCCTGTAGCCTTAACCAAATACATCACAAATATGCATATGAACATGTTAAGCTAACTTGCATATCTCTCCTTTAAAATGTAAATATGTAATGCGTTTAAACCTGGCTGCCTTTTAATAGAAGACTAGAACGTATGCATGACATCTTGTTTTTCTTTGCATTTTTAAACACTTCAACAATATTTTCTGCAGCTCTTAATTACAACTTCAGATAAACATGTATTATCCATTAAGAAGGGTTTAAGTAGCACTACCAGAATCTGTGAAGTCACATTCTTTTTTAACTTCAAATGAAACATACAGAGGCCAAAGCAATTAAGCAACGACAAATGTAGTTCAATCCCTAGCATTGCAATCAGTTCAATCATTTCAACCAGATACAAGTTCTTGTAGAGACTGAGCTGGAGGGTGTGGACAAGATGTCAGTATCGTCTGATTGAGCAGACGCTGCTTCTTCACAGACGGTAAAGATGTATTCTTGGACACCATCATCAGGTATTGGGATGACCTTGATAGTTGTCAAATCTTCAAGGTCAGCCGTGGATGTCAGGTTGACTAGTCCAATGTCTCCGTCTTGATATTGCATTCTAAAACGTCCACTTATAGAGTGCCACAGTGACACGTCCTAAAACCCGGAAGTAAGTCAGCATTTTACCACTTCCGGTTCCTTCGACAAAAAACGCAATGCAATTTCTCCATAGGATTTTGGAAAATAGCTCGAAATAAGGTCTGTGGTTTAAACACATTTAAGAGACGGATCACGTTTTGTTCAGCCGGATCATATCCACATGTCTACCCTACTTTTATAATTTTCTAATCATAAATCTATTGATCATAAATCCATCAATTAGATTTATGATCCGACTGAACAAAACGTGATCCGTCTCTTAAATGTGTTTCAACCACAGACCTTATTTCCAGCTATTTTCCAAAATCCTAAGGAGAAATTGCATTGCTTTTTTGTCGAGGGAACAGGAAGGAGTTTACTTCCGGGTTTTAGGACGCGTCACTGTGGCTCTCTATTTCACACTGGACTTTTCATTTCATCAGTAAGTCCATTGTCTCTGGAATTCCATCAGGCAGAACTAGCTTCCTGGTGTCATCGGGATTCAGAAGAATGTGTAACTTGGCTGGCGTTTTTACGGTCATGTCAGGCAACCCAAAAGGAACTAGAAAAAACAAGAACATAAACAATGGTATTAGTAATAGTGCAATGATACACTGACGACTGAATGTCAGTGTATGTCTCACAATAGTGACATGCCTGGAATGACAGAGCAAATGATTGCCACCAGTAGCTCTCAATAAACATACAGATGTGAGGATTGACTTTACATGCAACAATATGAATGAAGTGCAGTCTTGTATTTTTAATTTACTTGTACAATACATACTTTTTCTCATTTAACTTTAATATTTTAGATTACCTTACTTAACATTTGGGTACCTAGCTAGATATATTATCACTTGAGATTAGAGTAGAGTAACGCAGCGTCCACACGGCAGCGTGCGTTGCAGCTAAATTCAATCAGATCGATCTCATGCCCCGGACACACAAGCACACGGTTTGATTGGCTAGGGCTTGTACTGGCATATCATTTGATTGGCTGACGCTTCCGTCGAAGCTTGAAAAGTTGAACTTTTCTCAACTTTTGAAGCGAGCAACGGAGGCAAAGTGAAGCGACGGAAGCACAATGCAGTTCGGCAAAGCGTGACGTCAAAGTGAATGGGAAGCTGCGTTGAAGCTTCAACCTGGGTTCAAGTTATAAACTGAGCTCTATGGGGTCTTTAAACAACAACAACACACACACACACACACACACACACACACACACACACACACACACAAACTTAAATATGAAAAGGTTCAACTACGCACACACATCATCTTGGCTCGCGCAGCACGCTCACAGGCATAGATTGCGCAACCTTGGAAGTGCAGTGCAGGCATATTGTCATTCAAGAGATGCGTAGTTCTTTTGGAAAACATGTTTTGAGTTTAGCCTATTCACCTCGTTAGCATAAATAATACTCATTACATTGACACATGCATTATTTTTGATAAAAATAATGGTTGTTGGTAATGTATTAGCGACCCACACAGATGTATGATTTCACTGCGTCCGTTGGCTCCCACATAACTCGAACCCTGGCTTCAACGCACGCTGCCGTGACGGGCCGTAACCCCCAGTTTCCACCGGGTTCGCCTGCGCCGTGCTGCGCCGCGTTACGGCTGCGCCGCGTTATGTTACGGCTGCGCCGCGGCGGTTGTAAGACTCGCGGCCACTCTAGTCAATGGGTGCTATTCTACCACACGCGCCGCGTTACGGCTCAGACGCGTCCCAGAAGCGTCCCAGAAGCGTCCCAGAAGCGTCCCAGAAGCGTCCCAGAAGCGTCCCAGAAGCGGCGCGTCACGGCTGTGCCGCGGTTTTGGTCCGACCTCCTTTAGCGCAATAACCCACCGGACGCGTCCCAGAAGCGTTTCAGAAGCGTAGCATCGTGCGTGCAGACTCACAGTTTTGTTATTGATTCGGGCATCCTGGACATTTGTACTTCAACAAGAAAGTAAGTAGGCTACGTAGTTAAATGTTTTATTTTTGTGTCTGTTTAAATTGTGTTTATTGTTGTTATAAATTTCCTATTTTGTTGTCTTGTAGTCTACATACACAGTTAATAATAATTGTAATAGTCTCGTTATAAACTACATGAATCAAATATGTGTTGCTGTATTTTAGTGGTAAACAAATGCATTCATCATCATAATTATTCTATATATATATAATTTACAGTGCCTATAAACCGGAGGAGAACGCTGGCATTTATTCTCCTACTTGAAAGACTACGGGGGGATGGGGGGAGGAGAAGGAACCGGTTTTGGGTGCACCCCCTCAACCAGCAAAGAAGACAACAAGGTGATTTTCATCACCTCGTGGCTGAGCTGAGGCTGGACAGCCAAATACATCATTGATATTTTCGGATGAGTGCAGAGCAGATGGATGAACTGCTGTCCCTCCTGGGCCCTGAACTGACCAGACAATCCACAGATTACAGAGCTGCCATTGAACCCAAGCAGAGACTGGCTTTTGCACTGAGGTAAAATGCACATTTCACAGACAATAAATCACTGACCACAAATTTAATAAACGTTTTATTTTTAATAATTTCACCCCAAACAACATTTTAAACAGAAACATCAAATATAAACAATCAACACAAAAAAAGGAAATATTTACAGTAAAAAACAATGAACTCAATTGCTCAACTACAATTGTTCGTAAAAAGACTCCTGCCGTGCTGAGCTACTGCTGGAGGACAGCATGTCTGATGGCCCTGTAGGTGTTGATTGGGCGCGTGTGGGTTGGGGTACACTTGGCCGAAAGGCTACTGGCCTGGAGGTGTGAATGGAATGTTGAGTGGCGGGGGGATGGTCAATGGGCTGCCAATGTTGCTGGTGTTGGGTGTCTCTTTCCAAGTTGTGGATGGTGTTTAAAATAGAGATTTTTGCCTGATGTTTTCTGTCTTTGTCCAGTCTTTGCAACATGGGCACAAGACTGAGAGCAAAGTGGTATAACTCCTCTAATTCTGAGTCTGGCATGTGTGGTGCAGTTGGAGGTTCCTGCATTACATTACACATTACATTACATTGCATTTAGCTGACGCTTTTATCCAAAGCGACTTACAATAAGTACATTCGACCAGGAAGACACAACCTTAAAGAAAACAGAATCATATAAGTACATCAGGTTTCATAGAGCCAAACATTTCAAGTGCTACTCAACTGGCTTTAGGTAAGCCAGTCCTTTATTAGTATATAAGTGCTTTGTTAGTAGTTCTAACGATCGAAGTGGAGTCGAAAGAGATGAGTTTTCAGTTTGCGCCGGAAGATGTGCAAGCTATCTGCCATCCTGATGTCAATGGGGAGCTCATTCCACCATCTTGGAGCCAGGACAGCAAACCCACGTGTTTTCGCCGATGGGAACTTGGGTCCCCCTCGCAGCGAGGGCGCAATGAGTCGTTTGGCTGATGCAGAGCGTAGTGCACGCGCTGGGGTGTACGGTTTAACCATGTCCTGGATGTAGGAAGGGCCAGATCCATTCGCAGCATGGTAAGCAAGTACCAGTGTCTTGAAGTGGATTCTAGCAGTTACCGGAAGCTAGTGAAGGGAGCGGAGGAGCGGAGTGGTGTGGGAGAATTTAGGAAGGTTGAAAACCAGACGAGCCGCTGCATTCTGGATGAGCTGCAGAGGTCGGGTGGCACATGCAGGTAGACCAGCCAGGAAGGAGTTGCAGTAGTCTAGGCATGAGATGACGAGAGCCTGGACCAGAACCTGAGTCGCTTTCTGAGTCAGCTGGGGACGTATCTTCCTGATGTTGTAAAGCGTGTATCTGCAGCAGCGGGTTGTAGCAGCGATGTTTGCAGTGAAGGACAGGTTGTTATCTAGGGTCACACCCAGATTCCTTGCAGTCTGAGTCGGGGAAACAACTGAGGTGCCGATGTTGATTGTCAGGTCAAGAGTTGGACAATCTTTTCCCGGGAGGAAGAGCAGCTCAGTCTTGTCCTGCAGTAGAGACATCAGCTGCTCTCCAAGGTCTGTGCTCTGTGGCCTCCTCCTTGTGTCCTGTGTGGAACGCTGGGCCGCTGCTGGTGCGGAAATGGGAACCCTGGGGCTACGGGACCTAGAGGGCCTTTGCCTCTCTGCAGAGGTTGTGGGTACCAGAGGTGGTGGGGCTGTAGGTGGTGGGGCTGGAGATCCAGATGCTGTCCTGGCATGTTCCTCTGTTTCCAATGACAGGGGTGTAGATGCTCTCTCCATGTCTTCTACAGGGGAAGGATTGCTCAAGCTGCTTTTTGAACTATATGAAAAGAAACAACATGAAAACAATTAAAACCTTTTTTCTTGGGATTAATGTATGCAATAGGAACATATTTATGTAATTTAAAATAAAGTATTTCATACCCTTTGCAATACATCATCACAAATTACAAAATTATATAAATTAAAATATGTGCTTACATACCTCTTTTGCTGTACATAGGGCAAAAGGAAGGATATTATGTCTGTATACTTCCAGCCCTTTTGCGTGCCATCTGCAGGTCCACTTGGGAGACATTTCTTCCTGTTTTTAACAAAAGCATCCCGGAGTGACTTCCATCGTGCCTTGCAAATGTCGACTGAAACAAAGAATAGATTCAGATTAATAACATGATTTCACATATTTTTCTTTGCTTTTTTTTACCCTTCAGATACTTGGCTTCCGGGGACTCATTGGTCAGCCTAGCATTCAGCTATCGCCTAGGATGCGCTACTGTGACAAACTCTGTCCATTTGGTGTGTGTTGGCCTGGGTAGGAACCTATCCATCATATTTTTCTCAATGGCAGCCATTGAGAAAAAGATGATGGAGAGGTTCCTACCCAGGCCAACAGAAGAAACATGGAAGGAGGTTGCACAAGGCTTTTGGGAAAAATTTAATTTCCCAAATTGCCTGGGAGCAATAGACGGAAAACACATCGTCATCCAAGCACCACCACGGTCTGGGAGTCAGTACTTCAACTACAAGAAGACATTTTCCATAGTGCTTTTGGCACTTGTTGATGCTGACTACAGGTTCCGAGTGATTCAGATGGGGGACTTCGGAAGAACAAGTGATGGTGAGGTGTATGCCGGATCGGATTTGGGGAAAGGAATGGAAGCTGGAACCAGAGTTCACGTTAGAATATTTTTTCGCCGGTCAACATGTCCGTTAAAGTTTAAATCTTCCGGACAAAATGAGAAAAGTGCCGGTCAAAAGGTCTTCTTTGTTATTTATTGTGCTTTAAAACAAATTGATATGATTCGATATTAAACAATTTAGCCTAATTATAGTAGATTAACTACATTATTCAAAAGTGTACAGTAACTTACAATAACACGGGAATAATAAACGGAGCGCTCTCCCCCTTCCCTGACAGCCCTTCAGTATCATGCAGCTCGCGGATCCAGTAATGAGTGACCCGACAGTAAAACTAAACATATCTATAACTAGTTATGGTAGTTTGAGAGGTCATTAAAATAGCCACGTGTGATATTCTAACCTGAAGTGTGTGTTTTGTTCCGCTCACCGCTGCATGTGATTATGTAGAGCTGCTTGTCGACTCGTCAGCAGCAGCTGATCTCTCTCCCGTCAGATTAGACTTCACTCGCGTTTATGTCCATATCGATCAGATCCAGCTAGTTCTAGCTAATGATAGGACTACCTGCTTATTAAAAGACACCTAAACAATAAGCGTCGCTATGCAACCGGGTGAGGCCGCAAAGTATAGCGCAGCATTATGCATTTGTTTACATGCCCACCGGAACCCCGAGGCATTACCAACAGATCAACGCACAATCAACCCATACAGGACATCTCTTTCTCCACATTAAGTTTTAGACATTAGAATTGACTATTCTTCTCTGTCACATACGTGGCGCAAGTTGCGCAACTGATGTGGTATTGCGCGGAGAGATTTAGATTTACCGGTCTTCAGCATATTTTACCGGTCGTAGTCCGGTAATTACCGGCTAACGGGAACTCTGGCTGGAACACTTCATGTTCCAACCAGTACCTATCTACCTGGTGCTGCTCACCTGGGTGAGATGCCATTCGTCATGGTGGGTGACGCAGCTTTCCCATTCAAGCCATACCTCATGAGACCATACCCCGGAAAGAACCTCACTCATCAAAAGAGGATTTTAAACTACAGACTTTCTAGAGCAAGGATGGTGGTGGAAAATGCCTTCGGCATTCTGGCCTCCAGGTGCCGAATCTTCCATCGCCGTATCAACCTGCACCCGGAAAATGTGGACAAGCTTGTGGTGGCTGCATGCATCCTTCACAACTTCCTGCTGGCCCCTAGTGAAAACCAGAGGTTGCTATATGAGGAAGAGGAGCAGGGGAGACACATGGCACCAGTGAGAAACATGGGAGGAAACAGGGCCTCAAGAGAGGCCTGTAATGTGAGGGAGGCTTTCTGCACCTTCTTCAACTCTCCTGACTTGTGTCTTGGCAGGATAGAATAGTGTGATTACTGGAACACACAACAGTTATTACACTGACAAATTGATGAACAAAAAGGTTATTGTACTGTATGTTTTGTATGTAATACAATTTATAATAAATTGTTTTGTCTGACAAATGACTGCCAAATTATTCTTGTCTGTCCTCACAATTTATCTGACTATAAATGCAAGGTTTTCCACCATAGCATACTGTATTTAAACATTATTGACAGTACTTTGGGTAGTTGTTATAACACATGATTAAAAACAAATTATAATACAAAAATATAATATCATTATAAAGGGTTAAACACAACTGTATTGATCCCTGGGCGAAATTCACAAGATAAAGTATAGTTAAAAAACCAATATTTATAAAAATATAAATACAAAATAATAATAATATTATAATCTTGATATAGGAAATAAGATCTTACTTTATTGTGAAATGCAAGTTTACTGAACAGTTTTTTAACGACTTTCACAAGATGTTAAACTACTGAATGGCTCTGTACTGTACCTACAAGTATTAATTAACTTTAAAACATTAATATGTAGTTGTTACCTTCCACTCCACAAACTGCAGCGACTAAAAACCAGGCCTTGTCCTTTCTGATGTTGTCCTTGTAGTAAGCATTGGTTACATCATATAAAATAGTGTGTTTTTCTACTTCCATGATGAAAACCTCGTCGTCCATTGTGCGTATCGTAGTGGAGGTGTTGTGATGAAGGAGGGGGGTCTGCTAAATTAGTATATGTGGGGGATGGGCCTGGCCCGGATGCTCACCTTTCCACTTCCTGCGAGGGGGGGCTGCCTGCCTGCCTGAAGGGATGTGTGTAATGTGGTGATTATTATTCACCCGTGGATCTATGGGTTGGGATATTGTTGCGCACGGACATTATAGTTAACCGGAATTCCTGTTGATGTGAAATCGGAAAACTTTTTTTTTTTTTAAATAATACTTTATTCCGAGTGTGCTTGCTTTTCTCTTTGAAGGTCATCACATAACGGCATTATAATACACGGTTCAGCTGCATTAAATATTACATATCTGCCGTAGATATTTATTTATAGAGCCCTGATGAGAAGACTTCTAGACAAACAGGAAGAACTGCCGCCAAAACTGAATACGTGACGTGGATCATAAATATATCAACAATTAAACAACATCTTCCATTTATTTTCACACAATACGTCTCCTTGCAGTATCAACACAAATTCGGCTGACTTTTATATTGGATCCAATCGGTATATTGGTATATTTACACCATAACGGTGCACAGCTGATAGAAAGGGACACCTGGTGGTTAAAGCACGTTATTGAAATGTTTTATTTTTATTATTAGATATTAATAGGAGACACAGACACACTAATAAGGCTTTATTTAAACATTAAAGAATACTTTAGGTTAAGGTCTTATTTTGAATAAGAAAAAAGCTTTGGGGGTATAAATATTAAGCCTGACAAAGTACTAATATATTGCTTTCCTGCAATGTTAACTACTGTATGTTTAAGCACTTATTTTAACTGATATTATACATATGTATTATACTCTTATAAGATGTATGTATATAGTATAATAAATGTGCAGAATACAACAGTTTAATGGTGGAGGTACACACATATTGATAGATGTTGATAGATAGTTGTTGCTCTCCCTGAGGTTTCTCCCATTTTTCCCTTTAAACTGTGGGTTTTCTTCGGAAGTTTTTCCTTGTACGATGTGAGGGTCTAAGGACAGAGGGTGTCGTATTGTCATACTGATATTTTGTACAAACTGTAAAGTCCACTGAGACAAATGTAACATTTGTGATATTGGGCTATATAAATAAACATTGATTGATTGATTGATTGATTGATTGATTGATAGATGTCTTGTAATGCACTGTTGAGGAACCTGCGACCCAAGTTTTTCATCTCCGACCTTGTCAGGTATTGAACAATCAATAAATAAAGAACACAGAATTATTACATATAAAACACAGAATTTGTGTGATTATACTAAATGATTTACAAATAAACACCACTGCATATTTACAACTGTTACACATGCTGATGTAACGCAAATGTTTCCAACTTGGGATCAATAAAGTATATCTTATCTTAAGATGATCGATGGCTACTGCCAGATTTGCTAAATGTGCCTCTGAACCTTGACAAGTGCATGTTTCAGGCTTATCAATTAATGTAATGTAATGTAATGTAATGTTCAATTAAATTCAAAACCTTTATTTATCCAGGTAAAATCCCATTGAGATCAATGATCTCTTTTTCAAGGGAGACCTGCAGCAGTAGGTTCCACAAGAAGACATAAAAATCCAATCTCGTCTCATTGATTGGACTCCAGGTTGGCTGACTCCTGACTCCAATTAGCTCTTGAAGAAGTCTTTAGCCTAGGGGTTCACATGTTTTCCACCCTGCACTGTGAATGTTTACATGGTGTGTTCAATAAAAACATGAAAACATATAATTGTTTGTGTGGTATTAGTTTAAGCAGACTGTGTTTGTCTATTGTTGTGACTTAGATGAAGATCAGAAGACATTTTATGACCAATTTATGCAGAAATCCAGGTAATTCCAAAGGGTTCACATACTTTTTCTTACAACTGTGGTATTTCATAGCTGTTTTTCATTTATTCTCTTATTACTATAATGATCATATAAATGTGTGCCTCGGCGCGCCCCCCACTTTGAGAACCACTGGTTTAGGGGCTGTTGATATAATTATTTTTCAGATTATGAATGAACAGTATGAAGTTCATCAACATTGAAATATAGGTTATTATCAAAATAATATTTAACTGTTATCAAAACGTAGTGCAACTGTAGAAGCTTGCTCTGTTGTCTCACTGAAATAATAACTTTTACCACGTTTTTTACAGACAATATTGAGAGATAAATAGTAGCAGTTCTCACTATGTGTTAAATATATTTGCCTTCAATACATTGAATTAGAAAGCTGACAAAGTCATATTGCTTGTTAACTTCTAAATGTAACTTTTTGCATGGAAAAATCCCTCAACTTTACTGATGTGTAGGTGATCTAGTATTTAGTATTGTTTAATGGAATGTATATCAGTGTATTCAAGACAATACTTCATTCATTTAAACCAATATCTTTCTTGATTCTTTGTACAGTATGAAAAATAGTATTTGTACCTGTGCTGAAGTTCACTGCTGTGAGGAGTCCAGTTCTGTCTCTCACTCTCTGGTCCAGCCTGTCTGCATCACCTGGACACCTTAAACAAACAGATATATTATGTAAAGTACCATGAGTAATATTATCCAAGTTTTGTCTACACAGGCTAGGAAAGCTACAGAGATACCAGACGAGACACCAGAAGAGATTCCTGTTCGGCCAGGTGAATGGGTGAGGGTGAAAGTTCACAAAAGACAGTGGACCGATCCCGGTGGTCGGAACCGTGATAAGTTGTAACGAACTTCACACGCGCTCCGGTTTAAAGGTAAAGAAAAAGGAGCAAATTGACACCACCTCACACATTGTCACCCTTCACTGGCAACTTCCAGAACATTATTGGAAGTTAGGACTGATTTTGCAGAGCTGGAACAAAACAATAAATAGAAATAAGATAAAGATAGAAACAGCTCAAAAGACGAATTGTCGGTAGATTTTTATAGATTGTACACTAAAGTGAAAACCTATTTTTTGTTTTACACCTGAAAAAGAGTCCAACGTTTTGTTTTTGTATACGTTATTTTTTCAAATACCAGATCATAGAACTTGTTTTCTGTCGTTTCATTCAAGAAATGAAACATTCATATCTTATAATACAGATATTTCGACCTTCTGAAAAGTGTGTTCATTTATACTCAATACTTGGTCGGGGCTCCTGTTGCCGGATATATTCATACATTCTACAGGTATGGAGGCAATATATGTAATCTTTTTCTTACTATGTTCAATCTGAATTTACTTATAAAATAAAACATCGATATTGATTCTGACTTTTCTACATCCAACTCACAGGTTTATCATTGCTGTGAGAAAAAAGATGATTAAGTTACCCCTTTTAGAAGTGAAGTTATAATCATTTGTTCTGGGAATGTCATTTACGAGCCTGAGACCTGAAAAACAGGCTCAGGGCTTAACAGGTTAAACCAATCATCTCTCAGAGGGGCGTGGCCAGCAGCAGCTCATTAGCATTTAAAGCTACAGACACAGAATCAGCTTTTTTTAAAAGAGCTGAAAGAGAGGGGATTATTGGATGCTGCAATGATCTGTTTGGTGTTTCAGCCAATCAGAGACAGCTTCTGTATGTATCTGAGACCTGTGATATATTGTTGAACAATAGAATAATGGGGGACCTTTGATGTATATAAACAAATGTAAGTTTTACACTTAGACACGGCATCTATTGCATGTCTGTCCGTCCTGGGAGAGGGATCCGTCCTCTATTGCTCTCCCTGTGGTTTCTCCCATTTTTCCCTTTAAAACTGTGGGTCTTGTACGATGTGAGGGTCTAAGGACAGAGGGTGTCGTATTGTCATACTGATATTTTGTACAAACTGTGAAGTCCACTGAGACAAATGTAACATTTGTGATATTGGGCTATATAAATAAACATTGATTGATTGATTGATTGATTGAT